CCCGAAAAAAAATAAAGCGAAAACCAGAAACCAAACCAACAAAACCCGCGGAACAAAACAAGTTCCCCAAAGGGGTCTCAGGTGGGAATCGGGGATGTGCTGCATCCCCAGGTGCGATGGAGAAGGGATAAAGTGACCTCTTCAAAAGTGGGTGCGGTGCAGCTGGGGGGGGGGGGGACACGATGGGGGGCACTGAGCCCTGGGCGCCCCCTGCTGCCTTCTGGCCGGGACCGGGTTCAGTAGTACGAGCCCAAGCTGAGCCGCCGCGGTGCCCCCAACCCGGGGACGGCCCTGGGGGTGGCCCTGAGACCGAGGGCTCACAGGTAAAAAGCTAAAAACGGCGAGCTGGAGAAGAGCCGGGCCGTGGGGGGGGCCCGCCCCCCCCCACCGCTCTCCCTCCTGGTGCCGCGTCCCCGCCGCTGCCCCCACGGCCTTTAGGACTCCGAGGAGGAACGGGAGACGTTCTGGAGCAGCGATTTGTATATAGCAGAGTTCAGGAAGCGAGGGTAGGAGTCTCTGTGCATCAGCGTGTAGATCTGGAGCTGAGCGTCGTCGAACGTGTGCGAGGACGGCTCCTGCATCTTCCTGTTGATCACCTCCCGCACCCGCGAGTCCAGGCTCACCTGGGCGAGAAATGAGGGCTGTGGGACCCCAGCGATGAGCCCCCAACCCCGGGCACAGCCCCGCAGGATGGGAACGAGGGATGACCCGCGGAGCCGAGCGGTGCGTCGGGACCCGGCGCGGTGCCACGGCCAAAGGTGGGGAACCCGCGATGAGCCAAGGGGCACAAAATCGGCTCCCAAACGAGGGATGGGGACGGGGCTCGGATTGGTTCGCACGGCTCCGGGCGTAGGGAAGCAGCAGGAGCCCATCCCATCCCAGTGGCCTCGGGCCGTGAGCAGGGAGCGGGGTTGGGGTGTCCCCTGCAGCCGCATCTCCTCGGCACGATGGTGCCCTCGTGAGGTTTCGGCCCCGCAGCACAACCCCGGAGCGGCCACGCGAGGAGATTTGGGGACAGAGACGTGGGACGGGGACGCCGCTGGGCACAAACACCCTCCCGATGCAGCCCCGTTGGATTTAGGGACTTAGCACTGCGACCATCCCTCCGGTATCCCCAACACCGGTGCACCTGGGCACCCTTTCCCTAAGAACCCACACCCCAGCCTTCTGTTCACCACAGAAGGGGCGAAAACTTTCCCAGAGCCTTTTTGCCACGTACCTCCTTGGGCGAGAGGATGGAGATGTAGTCCTCATAGATGGTCCTGGCCTTCTCATCGATGGTGTGTTTGTTGCACTCCGTTTTGAGCTCCTCGCACGCCAGCCAGAAGAGCATGTTCTCCTCACTGTACTCAGTCCTCAAGAACTCCCGGAAGACGTTGCGACCAGCTGGGCTCTTCATCAGCTTGTCAAAGGACTGTGCCCAGCCCCGCACCTCCTCCGTGGTGGGTTTGGAGCTGTGGGGTCAGCGGGGTGGGAGGCAAAGGGAAGGTGTTACAGCTGGAGAGGGATGCTCGATGCGGGATGGGACAGGGCCGGGTTTTCTCTGTTGTATCCATCCCCCAGAACAGGGATGATCCCAGCTCTGAGCCATCCCAGAGGGGCTGCTGCCAAACACATCCCCTGTGCTCATGCTCCTGCTCAGGCTCCGTTCATTACGGAGCTCCTGGAGATCTCCAGAAGTGCCCATGGGGTTTATCCTGGCTCTGCTCAGCCAGGCCACACCGTGGGCTGGGTTGAAGCTGAATTCCCCAAAAGGGGACATATTGTGCTGCCAGCTCTGCACATCCCCAGGAGGGTGCAAAACCCCTTCCCGTGCTGAGCTGCACTGCTGGCAGGTCCATGCACCAGCACTGACAGCTGAGGGAGCAAGATCCTAATTACTAAAGCAAGGCAGTAGCCATCATTACCACTAATTAACGCATCTGATCCCTGGCACCAGCCATGGCCAGGCTGTGTGCAGGCAGCTCTGTCTCATTTCCAAGGCAGTGGATGCCTGGTGCAGGTGCCCCCACGTGTCCCTGCAGGCAGGGAGCTCGGTGAATAGCTTCCTATGCCACGATGTGTCATGAGATGCTGCACCATGCACCCGTTGTCCCCACACTCACCACGCTTCACAGTTTGGGATGGTCTCCAGTTTGGTCTCCCGGGACGCCCTCCACGCTCGCTCCCGGTCCTCGTTCCTAACGGGGAGATGGAAAGGTAGTAATGGGCAGCTGGGCATGGGGCTGCAGCCCCACCTCACCCCGCTACCTCCTGCCCACCAAACTCCCGCCGTGGGCGCCCACATCCCACACCTCTGCTCCTTCCCTTCCTTTGTGCAATTCTGCCCTGACCGTGCGGCGATGTTTCAGGCACCACGGCCAGTGTGCACCGTGCAACCCGGCACCGATGCATTGCTGCAGGACACCGCGCTGTGCTATCGCCTCCTCCTGCTGCCAGCAGGGCTCAGCCCATGCAGGAAGCGGGATAGAATTAGGAAGACAAAGTGCTGGACCCTGCACTGTGGTGTGGCCACGATGCCCAGCACTGCCTGCAAGCAAGCACCGTGACACCGATGTCCCCTGCTCCCCCCATCCTCGGCCCTGTGCTGCAAGAGGAAAGCGGCCTCCAGCCAACTTCCCCCGGCCCACCAATTTCGGAGCTGGGCGCCGACCGCAGCGCTTCCTGCTTGCAACACTGCCCCTGGCTGCAATCCCGGCTTTAACCCTGAGAGCAGCAGCTGGGGTGGGCACGTCCCTGCCTGTGCTGTGCCACAGGGCTCAGTGCCTGATGTCCCCGAGTCTGGGAGTGCCTTGCACCATCCTCGTTTGCTTCTGCTCCCAAGCTCTTGCAGATGCCAAGATGGGACACGGGTGGGTGTTGCGCTGCTCTCGGTCCTTGTTGCATTTGAGGAAACAAAGCTGGATCAGGAGAATGGGGCCCCAAGAGCAGAGCCTTGCACAGCGGTGATGCATCAGTGCTGCGGTTGGTCCATGGGTTTGCAAGGGGCTCAGCTCCAGGTTTGGATGCTCCTCCGGGCTCAATGCTGCGGCACACAAAGCTGTCAGCAATCTCACAACGGGTTGATGCTGTGAGCAGGTTAGCTCTCCAAAAGGTTATCCAGGCCCAAAAGGGAGCTGGGATGCAGATGGAGGTGAGCAGCTGGCGATGGTTTCGGGCAGTGCAGGGAGCAGGGCTCAGCTCTGCACAGTGCTGTGCATGGCAGTCCTGCTGCTGCCCTGGGTTTGGGATGGCCGCTGGCTGTGCTGCTCCCACGTGCAGCCCTGGCAGATCCATCGATGCAGCACAGGATGAAGGTTCCCAGCCCAATACTGCTTTCTGCTCTATATATTTCTAACGACTTGGCTGAAGGGAAGGAGCTGTGGTGCACTGGGGCTCGGCAGGGTGAATTCACAGGGATCCATTGGGAGGATAGCAATGCACGTAGACCCGTGCACCTGCTGTGGTGCTGACACCCACCCCCAAAACACCCCTTTCCAAAGCACTGTGTGCAATCCCCCTGCACGAACATCACTCACAGCCTGTCTAATTGCAGCACATCTCTGGCTTTTGGCTGCTGACTGAGCACAAAGCACATGGGCAACCCTGAGACGAGGTGAGCGGGGACGGCTCCGTCCCAGCTGCACTCCTGCACCGCTGCCGTGGTGCCCAAAGGAACCCCATCCCTGCAGCTCCAGCTGCACCCACACCTCGGTGCTGAACCAGCCATGTAGGACCAAAGTGCTGCTGGCATGACTGTGCTTACCATGAGCAACTGCAGCAGCAGCACCAGCAGAAGCAGCAGGCGTTGGGGCGGTGGTTGCTGGCGGGTTGCACCGTTGTCGGAGAAGTCTCATGCCGGGACATCGGAAGGGGTGGCTCTGCGGACGCAGGTCCTGCGTACTGCAAGGGAGGAGGGCATGAAGGGGAGGGGGTGAGCTGTGGGCAGGCGACCACCCCAGCTCCCCTCACCTCAAAAAGCGGCATTTGGGTCCAAGTGGCATCCAAGGGGCTGAGGTCAGTCCTGCCGCAAGCGGGCGGTCAGCAACCCTCAGCTCTGGGTGACACCCTGTCCCAGTGTGTCCTCCTCTGCCCACCTCACAAGGGACCCCTGTGCTGTGGCTTGCAGTGATTTATTTTGCCCTCCCCCCTGCTCTCAGCCCCATCTCCATCTCACCTGCGTCCCAGCCTCATACACGGTGGCCGTGGGTGGGTCGTGCTCCAGGGGCTCTTCTGCTGCTCGCTGCTGCTCCCAGGCCGCGGGTGACCCGAGCAGCCCGGTTAGCGTCCCTGCAGCCGCACGGCTGGAGCCTGCAACAAACAAGTGGAGTGGCACCATGTTACCCCCATGGTGAGCGTGGACCTTGCGTGGGAGCTGCTGGCGAAGGGCTGCGTTGTGCTGAGAAGAGCCTTATGCAGGCTGGGGCAATGCAGGCAGACTTTGGTGCAAGAAAAGGAAGTGAGAAGGAAAGGAGGGGAGGGCATGGCAGGCTGCCCCACACTGCTCTCTGACCCTGCTCTTGCTTTGCTGGCTGTGTGACAGCCCGCCTGCATACGGCACTCATGGGGTCCCTCCCAGGGGCTGCCTGCCCCATGCTGGATGCTCCACATCCCAGCTCTGCCCTGCAGGGTTTAGGTACTGTCTATGGTCAGGGCTCAGCCTCGCACAGCTGTGCCTCGTGCCACAGCCAAGCACCATGGAGGCATTTAGGTCCAGGATAGGGAAGTCAGAGCCTCTCCACGACATCATGTGAGTGGAAGGAAACGGAGGAAGTTCTCAACTCCCAGCACTACACCCAAACTCTGTGCCAAGTGTTGGCCAGGCCCAGAGCTCAGCAGGGCTCAGTGGCACCGACTGTACCTGCTCCATCCCCCACCTGCAGTGGGAATGCTCCATGTCCCATTGCTCCAGGCCAACATCATGCTGCAGAGCCAGGATCTGGGATGTGCATCCCAGCAGGGCACGGGCTGAGCAGGGGATGCTGGTGGCGGAGGCTTGGAGCCATGCACCACAGGCACGAGGACTGGGGGCTGCGGTCTCCTGCTGCAAGCTCCTCTCCCCAGCCCCTGAAGCCCTCCTGCTGGTTCCCTGTGCTCCTGCAGGAACTAAAAAGGAGAGAGTCTGTGCTTCTCTCCCAATTGTCCCTATTTATAGCCTCGAGTGCTGGCAGGATGGCTGTGACCTTGTCACCCCGCTCGGCAGCAGCTCTGCGCCCTCAGACAGCACTGTTGGCAGGTGATTGCAGAATCCTCATTTTCCCCTTTTCTTTGCTTCCCCTGTACCAACCAACCTCATTCTCAATGGCTGCACAGGCAGCAAAATCCCGCAACAAACCCCGGTGGCTCGTTGGTCTGAGGTGTTCATTACAGCAATGATGTGGGAAGGGGGAAAACACAAAGGAACTATGCTGGGACCCCTCCTGCTGCATCCCACTGCACTGAATGCAGCACTGGAGCACAGAGCATGGGGTGGCCAAGGGATGGGGACGTGAGGATGGAGCGTGGCAGTGCTGCAGTGCTGGCCCACCGTGCTGGGGTCACTGGGACAGCAGATCAGGAAGCAGAACCGCACAGAGCCAGAGCCCATGGGGAGGTGTGGCTGTGCACAAGGCTGCAAAAAGAGGAAGGTGGAAGACAGGGGATGTTTCCCAAACACAGACACAAGACAGCCCCATAGCCCCCACCCAGCCCCAGCGCCCTGCGGTGCTGCCCCATGCTTGGTGACGTAGCTGCAGCACACAGCCTCAGAGCCCCCAAATTCCGGGCACCCCTGTGCCGTGCCGTGCCAGCTCCCACACCCACAACGTCCCCACTGAGCTCTCCCCATCCGATCGTGGCACAGAGGTGACAGGGATGGGGCCGTGCCACCCCAGTGCACATCACCGCCCCGAGCCCCCATACAGCCGGCCATGGGGGATGCTTCCCAAAATTGCTTTGGAAGGGAAACATCCCCTTCCCCAGAGTGGCTGCTGGGTTGCAGCACCCACCAAACACCATGGATGTCTCAGGCAGTGCCGGGTCCGTCCCCACACCCGTACCTGTGCTACTTCAGCCATGGCCACGCCGTCAGCACCCAGCTCACGGTGCGCAGCGTTGGCCGGGCAGGGAGCCGGGAGGGAAAAGAAGAAAGAGAGAGAAAAGAAAAGAAGCCGAACACATCCTCTCACAGGAAAGGGAGTGGTAAGGGAAGTGGCAAACTCAACTGAAGAGTTCAGACCTTTTTTGGGAAAGCCCCGCCAAGGCCACGCTGCTCTGCCCGGCTGAGAGCCGCGGGTGCCGCATCTCTCCTGCAGTGTGGGGACACGGCTCTCCTGGGCAGGATGGGGACATCTGGGGCAACAGGGGGACACCAAGGGCACGCCAGCACCAGAGGAACCCATAGAACCAAGGAAGTGGCCGTTGCGGCATCATACCCTGCGCAATGCAAGGATCCATCCAAAGGAACGGTGCCAACACGTGGTGCCCCAGGATTTTCTGGAGCATCACTCAGGGGGGAGGAATTGGGCAGCGAGCAGCAAGGCCCTGGAGTGGGATGAGATGAACCAAAGCCCCGGGGGCACAGCGCCTCCCAGCAGCATCACTGCAGAGTGGGGCTGCACCCACCTGCTGCCACGCAGTGCGGGGCTGAGCTCCGTCGGCTGAGAGTGACTCACAAACAAAAGCAACATGTGAGAGAAAAATCGGCCGTGCAACCTCAGCTTCCTTGATTGAATTTGCCCGCGGGGCTGCAACAACGGCACAGACGCCGGCGGTCACCTCTCCAACTGCAGCAAAGGGAGCACAGAGCGAGAGCCGGGCGATGCAGCGTGCACCCATCAACCAAAAACCCACCCAAATCCCAACGCCGTGCACCCCAGCACCCAAAACCCAACGCGGCTGCACCGCCGCTGTCCCAGCGCCGAGCCCACACCACCACAGGGGAACTCCCAGGCCCTGTGCAAAACCCCCACGCTTTGGCAGCTCTGCTCCTTGGCAGGGACCCCCCACGCTCCCTGGGTTTGCCCTGTGGGCACAGCCTGGCCCCGCGGCTGCCCCCACCCTGCAGTGCGCCCCAGACACCTGCTGGTGCACAGGAAGTTTTGGGAGCTATTCTTAGATTGCTTTTTCTCTCTCTCTCTCTCTTTCTTTTTTTTTCCCCCTCCCACTTCAGCAATTAGAAGGGACTCAAAAGGTGAGGCTTCAGCTCCCGCATTGGGATGGTGCCTGTGGCACGGGGTAAGGCTGACCCCATGCTGCCAGCACGGCAGTGACAGCGGTGCCCAGGACCACAGCCTGATCCGGGACACCTCGGCCACGTGGGAACCAAAGAGGTGGTGATGTGCAGCCCTGCACCTGCCCTGAGGACGCCCACAAAGTGCCCCTGCACCCTGCAGAGGTGGCAGCGGAGAGCAGACGTCTCCAGGAGTCCTGCAATGATTTCTTTATCAGCCCCAGTTCCCAGCACTGGGTGCTCCTGCACTGAGCATCCTCTGAGCCAAACCCCATCGCACATCCCCGAAACTCCTCACCACACATCCCCCAAAACTCCCGTATCCCAAAAGCTCCCCACCAAACATCCCAAAGCTGCCACCGCACACCTCCACAGCTGCCCACCTCAACACCCCAAAGCTCCCACCACAGTCCCCATAAGCCCCCCATCCCCAAATCCCACAGCTCTGCCCCAGCCCTGCGGGCACAACGCTGCCAGCACCGTCCCCTCAGCCCCGGCTCCCGCACAGAAACGTGGTTAATTATTTCAGAGCCCAAAAATAGCACCCGCGCCAATCAGCTGGGGGATTTAATAAGGCAAACCCTGACAATTATGTTTCTATTAGTGGAGGTATCGTGGCGTTGTTAAGGCAGACTCCCATTAAGCATTTGGTAATGATCCATGCGAAAGGAGAAAGATCGTGGGGATCAATACTGGGCAGAGGCACGGGGCGAGCAGCAGGCACACGGGGAGAGGGAAGGAGGGGAAGGAAGGGATGAAGCCCTGCTGTGCTGCTGCTCAGGCCGTGGTTTGCATCTGGAGCGGTCCCTGAGTACTTGTGCAGCTGTGCATCCCTCTGCTGAGCATCCCTGACCCCAGCACCAAAATCCCACTTTTGGATGCTAAATCCCTCCACTGAATGGAGAACACGGAGCGCTTTTGCTCACGCCAGGTGCATCCTGGTGAGGGGCAGAAGGGTCTCTGCGCATGGATGCAGGTGGCAGCCATGCGTGGGGCTCACGGCTTCCTCAGCACTGGGAACCGGGGCTGCGGAGCCTCAGAGAGGCCAAGGGCACAGAGATGGGGTGGCAATGGGGACAATGGGGACAATGGCATTGTCTTTTTCAAGGAAAGGGAATAAACAGCCACATCGAGGTGAATGGAAACCCTCAGCATCCCAGGGAGGTGCTGGGTCAAAGGGCAGCTCCATGCAGCTAGTGGGTGATTTCCTGCCCAGCCCCAGGGTGAGACCAAACGCAGCACCTGGAGCCCCCAGTGCTGCACACAGAGCTGTGTGCCCACCTATGCGGGCACGAAGGCACTGCACACTGCCAGCACTTTCAGGATCAGGCTGCAGGCAGAGCCCAGGACAGGTGCCCACGCTGGTGAGCACGGCATGCATGGCATCCCCTCTGCTGCCCCATCCCCAGGACAGCCCCTGGGGGACACACACCAGTCACCACCACAGGGATGCTCTGCACCGTCCCAGCTGTGACAAGCACCGGGGAGCACTGACACAGACCCACGGGTTATTTAAAACCCAACCAAAGGGGAACAAAGTCTGCGGGGTTCGGCTCAGCCATGCAGGGAGGAGCTGGTGGCACGGAGGAAGGAAGCGCCGTCACCCTGCACGGCCCCTGTGCCACGGGCACAGCATGCAGCACGGCATCCCGCACCGCCCCGCAGCGTTGCCATTCCTCATCATTATTTTCTCTTGTTTGGTGAGGCCGGCACAAAGCTTTCCCTTCCTTTTCCGGGGTTGCTGCACCTGTTTGCTCTTCTCCTGCCCTTTGCACTGAACCGCCGCGTGGGCATTTGCCTTCTGCAGGAGCCCCCAGCGGGTTCACACGGGAGAAAGGAGGGAGGGTAAGGGGAAAACCCAAACCCTGCACCCCAAGCACTTTGCTGGCTTCCTTCTATATGGAGCCCCATCCACAAACTCAGCAATCCTCACTGTCTGTGTAAAGAGCCCCCAGCTGCTCAGCACAAAGCAGGTGAGGCCATTTCCAGGGCTGCTCAGAGAACTGGAAGTGCAGCTTGTTTGGAAATTCTACCCTACGTTTTCCTGCTGTCAGGAAACCCCCCTTTTTTCCATGCTTGCCATGAATATTGATGCTGAACCTCAACGGATTCCGCTGTTCTCCTTGCTACTGCTGCTCCACCTT